TTCCTAGAGCGTCCTAAACGTGCTCTATTGGATTCATGTCTGAAAAACACACTGGCCATGCCATTCGTACGATTCCTTCCTCGAAAAGGAAATCCTCCATCAGGTTAACACGATGTGGCCTGCAGTTATCGTCCATTAAAATGAAGTCATCCCCGATTGCTGCAGCGTAAGGGACTACAATAGGTCTGAGGATCTCATCCCTATATCCCGATCATCCTTCTCTTCATTGTCTTTTATTCAGTTGAAAGTCAAGTTTCATTCGCTGCCGCTGAAGCAACGTTTTTGACATCGAACTCAAAATTAGCATACTCCATAGTTTGAAAATCAGAAAAATTTGCATTTGTGATTCTCTTCTTCCATTTTCAGCAAAATAAATTTCACTTATATCTTTATTTTATATAAAACTTACAATATCCTTTAATTGTTTTGAGCAGTTTATTATAAATTGTAATTAAAATGTTTTGTGCAAAGGTGTTTGCTAATTTAAACTGAATTACCCAGGGCAGGTGGCGAGGACGCCCCTTTGCTTACTGCCCCACGGGGTTTCCCCCTTCTACTTGCTTAATTGCTTAAAGTAGAGTGCAGTGAAGGAAATCACTGGCGGTACATTTCTTAAGAGCCCACCGCTAGCTCAATCAATAAAGGTGATTTAAATAATGAAATGTTAAGTCACATGTCAAATAGCTCTTCGTACACAACATTTCTTGTGTAGATCTTTCCATCATTTTTAAGCACGCCTTGCAGAGGACCATACATTATTTTTAATTTTACGCCCGTTCTTTCGCGAAATCTCTTGAACAGACAACATAAACTTGACCGTGTCCAAATGCAGGCTCAGTTAAAAAAAATGCCAACACGCTTAAGCGTTTGGCCCTGAGACTTATGGATGCTCATAGCAAAGGCAAGTTTGACGGGAAATTATCTACGTCTCCATTGAAACGGCAACCCTGTGCCGTGGCAACTTCACCCCATTGGCTAGTACAGTTACGCAAGCAACCAATAAACTATCGGCGACAAACAGACACTTAAGCCGCATATATATATGGGGAGAATTAACATTATCTCCTCAGAAACGGCTGGCCCCCGGGTTTAGCGAAGCACACCGTTGGATTCCGCAGGTCCATGGCACGCCATTTTGATCATTCGCGTCTTCTTAAGACTTTAATTAGCCGAGATATTAATTAAAAACTAATTTTCAGCTATGTTTTCCCTACATTTTCCACTTTCTTTCTTGGGTTTTCCCTATTAGAGGGATTTGGCCAGATTCTTTTTTCTCGAGTATCTACGGAACGGCGCCGAGTTGAAATTCGAGACGCGTATCCTCGGATTACAAAAAATTCTCCGAATCCACGAATACCGTTCTCATCTTCGTAGGACTTTAATCGGCCAAGATATTAATTAAAAACTGCGGAAACGTTACTTTCCGAGCTCATTTTTCCGAGTGGCAACAATAAACTATCGGCGACACACACTTTAGCCGCTTATATATATAAAGAAATTGTAGATTTGTTTTACTAACTACCCAACACAGAAAGATACCTGGAGTGACACGTAATTGGTCCTCATAAATGATCCTTAAGTAACTTTAAATAACTCATTTCAAACCATATCAGCTACAGAAATTTAAATTATCTGATTAACAAGCAGCATGTTAATAGATTTCGAGCGTCCATAGACATACGCAAGTAAAAGGTGTCCTAAAATTCACGCAAGACGTAAATTTGATAGAAATTGATAGTATTTAGTATAGGGTTATGTATGGAATAGCATATCGGGTAAATGGCCTCCATAACTTTTCTAGCACATATGCATCTTTTGATATAATTATCCATGACCGTTTTGTAAACGCGGCTGAAGTTCGTTGGCACAATGCTCAGTTTTCTCTTTCAAGCCGTGGATGGTCGTGGGCTCGTTGGCTTCAAAAAACCTCAAAGAAAAAGTCAACGGCGTTCAATCGCACGATCTGGGCAGGCAATTCTCACCACCGAAACGGGAAATTACACGACTATGAAATAACTAATGCAGTAATTGAATTGTTTCTCAATCTGTATGGCATGTGGCACCGTTTTGTTTAAAATACGTGTCATTAACTGTTATTTCCTGACTAGCCGCATTTTCGAAGAAGAAGGGTTCGATGATGCTTCCAACCCAAAATCCGCACCAGTGGTCTTTCTTGGGTGCATTTTTTTCTCAACAACCACTTGCGAATTTTCTGACCCCGTGGTGGACACCTCTTTAGTGCTATCATTATAGTTCATTATAAAATAGTGTTTCCAGTACTTATTATATTTCTCTGCTATTTATTACGTTTGTCTATTATTTTTGTTACACTAAAACATATAACTAAATCTAAACTCAGTGCCACAGCAGCCTTAGTGGGCCACAGCGTACAGTGCCCCAAATTCTGCTTTCTTGACCTTGGGCCCCGGAGTGAGACAGCATATGCCCTAGACAAGTGGTCAGCTTGTCGCAGCACCCCCGGCGTTTAGTCCCCAAGCGAACTTGGTACTCATTTCATCGACCCACTCAAGGGATGAAAGGCTGTCAACTTTGCCCAGCCTAGGAATCGAACCCCGGACCTGTGGTGCAGATGTGCGACGCGCTAGCCACTTCGCCAGCGAGCGGTCACACTAAAACATGTGTTCAAATTAATTTATGAATTTCAAATTGTATTGAATGTATTTAATGTATTATATCCTAAATCATTATTTTTAATAAATACTGGATGCCGGATCTAGGGTAGGATTGCACGATATACCATACTAGAGAAACTCTAGATCCTTTGGAAAGCTTTAGTCACTTATTTCCTACACCTTCCATTGTAAAGTCTTATAAAAGTCGCAACTTTTATTTTAAAGAATTAGTATGGGAAGGCATTAACAGTTGACCCATGGTACATCGCTTGTGTCCTTCGTACTTTTACCCGTTCCTGTACAGCTGTAATTGCAATTATAAAAGTGTAATTACAGTTACATTGTAGCTGAATTAATTGCAATTACAATTATGCTGTAACTGTACAATTTTTAAGCCAATTACATTGTAGTTGAATTAATAGCAATTACAATTATTATTTTAATTGAATTATCTACAATTACAATTATATTGCAACTGTACGGTTTGTAATGCAATATTACTGAAGTAATTGTAATCGCAATTGCAATGTAATTGCCTGGTCTGAAGTTGCATTTACATTATAACTGAATGATTTCAAATTACAGTTACATTGTAATTACTATAACTGCAATGGCAATTACATTGTAATTACTATAACTGTAACTGCAATTACATTGTAACTGTATCCGCAATAACATAATATTGCAATTGCAATTATCATGAAGTTGCAAGTATAATACAATTAATATCATTATAATTGAATTACTTATATTTTCAATTACATTGTAGTTCATATATTAATCAGTTACATTGTAAATGAATTATGCCCAACTCTGCAGGTAACAATGCATCACTAAATTTTTCTTTGTATAAAGTAGCCAAGCATTGCATTTAATTAGGTAACTTACAGGTCATTATAATGAGATCCACGACTGTTGTCATCAAATATTCACCTGTATTTTTATTTCTTAAATTTTATACCAAAATGTAAAACGCCCCACCAGTGGCCGAATGGTTAAGATGCTGAATACTGGTTTTGGTTCAAATGCGAATGGGCTGGGTGCATGTTAGTTTTCGTGGTTTTCCTCGCGTAAAAATAATAACCAAAATGCAAAATGTGTTTTATATTTGGTGTAAATATGGTATTTTTTTCTTTATGAATATACAGTATTAAAGCCCCGTATTTGAACAAATAATCTGATCATGATGCTTTTCTTCTTCCTGAATATTACTTCAATTGAAAATACGATTTTGGAGTAGAAAAACATTTTTACTACCCGCATAAGTTGCGCATAGAAAGGCGCTTTAGATTTTGTAAAGCTTCTATGGCTCAATGAAGTTCGACACTAGTACTTGTTCATTTTTATCTCCTCTTCCCCCATATTGTTAATAGATTCTACCTAAAAAATAGCAAAAATAAACAAATGAAAACTAAGAGAAATAAAATTATTGCAGTTTGCAATGAAATAATATTTAAAAATGGTGCTAATATTCGCACGCGCCCCCCCCAACCAAAATAGTGGTAAGCGACACTGACTGCCTTACCGAAGGACCCGGTTTCGAATCCCGAAGTCTTCTCGAGAGGTTGGTGTTAGGGAAAGAGGGGCAAACCCTCGAAACAAAGTCCGTCCCGAATTTTGATGGAGTTTGTTTCTTTTTTCTGGAATTTGCTTTGTTCGGTGGGATGTTTTTAATTTTAAAGAATTGATTTTAATTACTTTTATAACCATATTTTAATAATATTAAATAATAATAACAGTCATAAATAACAATATTAATGCTAACTTAATCTCATAATTCTTAATTGCGTAGGCCTTTACGTGGTTTTACGTGGCTTTCTATCTAAGAATTTTTTAGATTTCTTATGTAATAACTATCACTTAAGAAGTTGTAAACTAATTTATGCCTTCATAAAAGAATTATGAAAATGAACTAAATGCAAAAAAACTGAAAGTGGTTAGAATTTTTTATTTATTTATTTATTTATTTTGGCAGCACTAAAGACTAGTGCGATCGAAAATATCATTAAAATACACTGAAGCGCAAATGATTAATACGCTGACCTATTGATGCGATTTGGAATTCTTTAAACTCATTTCTGTGTTAGTACATATATTGCAGCAATTTACTTCCACTAGTTCTCTCCCGAAGTTTTATATTCTTAAACACGGCAAGATATGCAACAGACCTCAAAAGCCGCTATTCATATTTTTCCACCTGAGTTGAACAAGCCATGTTGGGGTATAAAAAAAAAATATTAGCCAAGTAAGCGGAAATGTCGATGGTTTGTTTGTGACACATAAGGGTCAAGAACAAGTAGGGGTTTGTTGGGCTGTAAGCTTCGTTAATCGGATAACGTAATTAATTAACCAACAGTATTGCGGAAACGGTTTTCCTGAGTATAAAAGTTACCCAAATATGAATTCAATGCTTAGAAGAAACTTTACGGAAGCCAGGAATGAAACAGAAATGAAGCTGTTGGTAAGCTATAATTTCGTCTTAGATTTTCTTAAGAATAAATTAGTCAATTAGTCAAATTGACAGCTTCGGAGTCAAATTCAACTTAATGAAGTTTCACTCTGAAATTTTATGCAGAAATTAGCTTAACACGAACAATCTGGATGTTGAGAATACGATTATGATTAAGATAAGTTGACAAAAGCATAAACAAATGGAAAAACAGGTACTCTTCTGTTATCGGGACCGGATTCAGAAATGTATGTAATCATGTATGGGTGGATGCATGTGTTCATGTATGCACATATGCATGCTGTTTGTGTAATCACAGACCTACAAAGACACGTTACTATATACATTACATATCTGAATACGGTCCCGATAACAGATGAGTACCAGAAAAACATTAGCATTGACTATAAGAGTATTAAGGAATTAGAATTATTTTTTATTACTATCTGAAATGAAACTTACGTTCTTACCTAGAAACTACAAATATTATATTTTGTAATTTTTAATATCAATATGGTTGTTTTCTTTGGGTATTGTGTGTTTACAAATTAATTTCTTGTTTCCTAAAACTTATTAGTAAAGTTAAATTTGATGAAAAGTCTAAAAAATTGGTTTTCACATAATTTCCCACAGGAAAAAAAATTAAAAAAGCACGTATTCATAAAACGCGTTATTTTTAAACTAAAAAACTAAAGCTTTTGAAAACTGAGATTTTTGAATTTGAAAAGTCCTACAAAAGGCAATAAAACGAAACAATGCATAGTATTTTTATATACTAGAAGGTATAACTAATATCTGTAACAACATATCATTTTATATCAACACAACATTTGTAAAAATCATATTTACAGATAATATTGAGTAGGAAGTATTACAAGTTTCCTTATATTTCTCACTTTCAGAAATAGCACAATTTTAGTTTATATTTATTGCATATGTTTGTCTTTATATTAATGTATATTTAGATATATAAGGTATAGTTTCTCTTTTACTTCGTTTGAATGGATTGCAATAAGTTCTGCATAAATTAATTCATCGTAACTTTTAAAATTAAATTACTGTAATAATATGCTGAGCGTAAAATGGATATGGAATTAATTTTAAATCCATTGCTAAGCGTTAAATTCTTTATCAGAGTAGATATCTGTGTATTTGTCTATTAAAAAGAAATTTTTAATATTAACTCACAAAATCAGTTCATTTTAGAAAGTTTTTAACCTACCGATTCTGTTCTCAAAAAGCATTCATACGGCAGTGGAGAAACAAATCACTATCATTTTCTTTACGTATTACGTCAAATTACAGTTCATTTTTGACTTAATTCGACAAAGTCATAAGATAATTGAATAATAGTATGTCGACTTTTAATCGTAATGTGTTAAAATAAAAAATGAAATTTCAAAACTGAACTGCTGTAAAATTTAATAAGTAATTAACAGCTTCGGTGTCAAACATGGATAAGTTAATCTATATATATAAAGAAGAAAGTATGTTTGTTTGCCCTCTAATAACTCAGTAACTGCTATAGCTATCGTCACCAAACTTTCTACAATTATTTTCTGGGTCCTGGAAAAGGTCGACGTCCACTCTTTTCCAAAAAAACAAAAGCTAAAATCAGAGATATTAATGAAAACTCGGAAAACGATACTTTTTGCCCTAATTTTTCCGAGAGGCAACAGTCTCGCAAGTTGGAGATGAAAATCTGATTAAACGTTGTTGTAACTGCTCGCTTTCAAATCCTGGAGTTTGTTAATAAAAAATTTCGAAGTTTTCCGATGAAATAAAAATAACATCGCCGAAGATTAAATACATTATTCTCGATTCCAAGAATTCATGGGAAGCCATTTCGACTATTCTCGTCTTCATACGATTTTAATCAGCCGAGATATTAATTAAAAACTCAGAAACCATTAATTTCCGCACTCATTTTTCCGAGTGGCAACAGTCTCACCGTGTCGGAGATAAAAATGCTTTTTTTCGAAAAAAGTGTTGCAACTGCTCGCTTTCAAATCGTAGAGTTAGTTAATCAAAAATTTGTAAGTTTTACAGAATCTATACATATAAAGAAGAATGTCTGTTTGCGTGTTTGTTTGTTCGCTTTATTGATTTCTGATTAACTATAATAAATTTTTTACCACATTTAATCGACTAAAGTTGTATATAGGCGAAATATTGGATGGAAACTGTGCTTTTTCGACCATTTGATTAGAAAGACGAAAATTATTATTAAAAACTGCGAGCCGTTTTTGCTGATATAATAAGTGAGAATAAGCTTATTTTTGTATCGAAATTTTTTATGTGGGTTCCATATCGCATCAGATTGAAAAATGTATCACTATAGATCTTATTTTTTGCATCGTTATTAGACGAGGATTACAGCGGCATCGTTCGCTCTGTTGTTAAATATATCACTCTCAATTTAACTTAACTGCCATCGGCTATATATTTGAAACACAAATAACCTTTGCTCACCAGCGGCTGAGTTTATCAGGTTCAATGTTCCTTCTAACCTTCTTCGGGAACATGCAAGGACCTGACTCGGAACAGAGAGCTTACTAAAGCTATGTTCAAAACTGTGGGAAGTAAACAGGATACACAAGAAGGGTATACTAAACCCTTTATTTTTCTCTATTTACAATGACTTCCGTACTTCGGAATACACCGACCCGCTACTTGGGGTCAAAACGTAAAAGTATAAAAATAAAACTAAACTCTAATTTAACTTTAGAATAATAAACGTGGAAGATTAGCCTTATACTAACAGGAAGCGTATGTAGTCCAGAGAACTGTGAACACTACAATACGTTTAAAATTTATCAAGAGGATTTAAACCTCTGGCCTGGAAGGCAACAAGCAACTGCGTAACTTCTAAGGTAAGCGGCCTGCTTCGACTCTCTGCTTCCTTTCTCTCGCTTGGCAAAAAGCCACAACTTAAATACTTGGCGTTCGCCAGACAAACTTTGCATAAAAACCTTAACGCTTATAATTCTGGCCGGAAGTAGAAAATAAGAAGTGATAGTAAAGATTTAAAATAAAATAAACGTTAGTAAAACTTAAGATCCTTACAAGTTAATGGATTGGTTGCGTATGGATTCTCTTGATTTTTTTTTATGAACAAGACCCGACTTTCTATTAAAATGCCCTCGAAGGCATCCCTCCCTTTAGAGAAATCGATAGTCCTAGTGAGCTTTGTTTAAATGCCTTTCAAATAATTAGTAAGAAAATTTATTTTTAATAGTTTAAGAAATGAATCTTTTCACATTATAAGGTACAGTCTTCCTCTTTTACGCATGACTTCGCTGTATAATTGGAAGCAAATTCGACTCATATTCGACAGTTCACGGTTCGAGTCCCGTCGAGGGTACGGCGCATTTTTGACGTCGCCTCCTGAAAAAGCTCCTAATGACTCTATAATATCATTGATAACAAATAAAGTGGTATGAAAAAGGTTTTATAGCTTTTTTCACCTCTCATCAGCCCCAAAATATCAAGATAATGAGGTAAATATTGCTCAACAAACATTCATTCAATTCCTAACTAAAATCACTTATAAACTTATATATAAGTGTTTAATCCGCTAATTATCATTAATTTACAAGTTGTATGTGTTCTTAGAAACTGCATATGTGCATATTAAAGAAAACACTCCAAAATAAATTAATGCACTTTAAAAGCTAAATTAAACTCAAGAATGACGTTTCTGCTTGGTTTTTGTTCCCTATATTCTACAAAAAACTAATTGTAACGTAGGACTACACTAGATAAATAAAGGTAACTGAAATTTATTGTTCACTTGCATTTATTTATCTACCGTAGTTAAATGAAATTACACAGAACAATAATTAAATCTTCGCCATAACACTAAACAAAAAACTTAACGAGCTTAGCAGATGCTGATATAATAATAGCTCATACAATGTATGTTTCTTTGTAAAGGAGAAAGTAGTATATTTATAAGTCCAACTAGATTTGTTACTTGTGAATTCGAAGTCAACTATAAACTGAAACATAGGAAATAGGCTTCCTTTCGCTTTCTAAAGGCAATGCGATTTAAGCATTGCCTGAAAACGTATAAGGAAGATTTGAAACTCTAATTTGTAACTGCTAAAACTTAAAGTTTTGTCTTAATCTCTGAACAGTCAGATTCGAATTTTCCAAGATAAAAAAACTTAAACCTATTTCAGTGCAATTTAAAATTTTTTGAAATTTTGGACTGATTTAAAGTAAATGAAGAATTACTGGTCATAAAGAAAATAGGTAGCCTGAAGTTTGTCTGAGTTGGTACACCAAATATAAAATTTATGTTAAGAATCTATATATTTTCAAGTAATACGTGTTATCATGTGATCATATCTTAACAATTTATCAAGGAGATCCGTAGAAATTAAGTATGCTGAATAAACAAACAATTTTGTTCATTGAAAATAAAATCGGAATTCATTTTTGTGATATATGGAAACAGAAATTCCTGTACACATGGTAAAAAAATAATATAGTGAAGTTATACAGTACAGATAACTCTTAAGTCCCCTTTGGTAAGAAATGTTAGAGATTAAAATAATGTGAAAATGCGTGATGTGGGCTTCCTTGTACGGCCTATTAAATTATACACACGTTTTTCTGCATTTCATTTAAATTTATGTCCTCGAGTTTTATAAGAGATATATTTCTCGTTCATTCAATTCAGTTCTCATTTTGCGGGAAGGCAAAAATACATAAAAAATCAAAACATCTTCATTAAAAATTGTACAATGCGGTAAAAACCTAATATAAAAAACGTAGGTAAAAATAGTTAAAAATCATTTTTTTACAATTAAAATTGCAGTTTCTATGCAGAAACAAGCAATTCGCCTACTTACAGAAAGACCAATTCTTTGGAGCACAAATTCGAAAGTTAACTTTTGATCTCATTGGACAAAAAGACGGTAAAGTTGGTGCAACAACTGACTTACTTCACTATTCTAATAAAAGTTTGAAGTTTGAAATGTAAACATTTGGCAACCTCTTAATGC